GAGGAGAGGAGAGGAGAGGAGAGGAGAGGAGAGGAGAGGAGAGGAGAGGAGAGGAGAAAAGAAAAGAAAAAGAAAAGAACAGAAGTCACTGGGCACTGGCTCTGAGTTACACTAATTCTGTACACATAACGGTGCATTCCAATAGTCAGAATAGTCAGACTGCAGGTTTGGGGGGGATCAAGCTGTAAGTGAAGTTTTGGCCCAATTTTCTTCTCTTTAAGCCCAGTAGCACTAAAACCCATCCTGTAGTTACATCCTCAGTTCTGAAGTGCAGAGTGAATGAAGATATTCCTGAGAGGAATACCCACTGTACTGTGAGAGAGAGGTTATTTTGGTAGAATAGCCAAATGGAAGCCCTTAGATCTTCCCCTTGTGACCAAAATAGTAATCACAGTAATAGGACATCCCTGAAGGACTGGCAGAGATGAATAACAGCATAAAAGACCTAGCAATGCAGACACTGATCTCTAATTTGTGCAGAGAACAGATGGGTCCTGAAGAACAGTAGCAGATTACCACATGCTTAGTGAGGAGGTGACTGCACTTCCACCTACCATTCCATTCATGGGATGTTTACCAAGAGAAGTTGATTCAGCCCCTGGAACCCACCATGCAAATGCTGACTAATCAAATGCTGGACCCTAAATGAGTGGACACACCAGAAATGGTCTGCTTCACCCGCTAAAGACAGCTGTGCTGTATTTAGTGTCTGGCTTTAGGATTACATCTGTGTCTTTGTTCCACCAGTTAGTCCACAAGGACTCTGACCATCTCCCATACTGAAAGATATCACAATAGTTATGACAATGATAACATCCTGTAGAGTGGTCCTGAAGACTCAGTAGTTATCCTCGATGGCTCGAAAGACAAAAGTGCCAGAGAGCAAGAGAGACAAAACACAGAAATGGCAGCAGGTCATTCAGAGAAGTGATAATATAGTTAGTATCCAGCAGTAGTCAGGACAAGTTCCACTAGTAATGTCTTAGCCAGATATTTCAAGTGGGATGAGCTTGGTATATTCCTCAGCTTGCCCACACTTCTCTGCTTCTTCTGTAAGTCTAAGCTTCATTCTCTGGGCTTCCATTTAATTCTGCAAACTACCTGATAGCCATCAAACGGATTCTTTTTCTGATTAAGTTAGCCAGAATCAGTTTCCTGTTTGCAATCAAGAATAATATACTAGATAATTTTAGATTACAGATTTTATGGGGCTATGAACCAGAAGGTAAGCACAAAGGTTACTGTGCCTGAGTGTTCACTGTACTCAACCTATATATGAAGAAAGGCATGGGAAGATTGGAAGGCAGTCAGGTGAATAATTTAGTAGTTGAGCTAAAAAAATTTAGATTGAATTACTTTAAGACAGGAGTTGGAAAGTGTTCCCCTCACACACTCATTCTAACAGTCTGACAGGCTCTTTGGACTATTGACTGGCTAAATGTCTCAAGAAGCTATAGCTGAAAGTAACACACCAGAACTAACCCAGGGAAAATATTCCCTAATCTTTCCAAAGTCACAAATCCTGGTGGAGAGAAGGGGTAGAACAAAAAATGGAGAGCTCCTTTCCCTTTGCCTCTCTCGTCTTAAAACCTACTTAGAATTTGTTAGTCAAGGGGACCAGCAGTTAGCGTAATGGCTATGTCACTGGACTACCCCGTACTCAATCGCAGTTCGCGTCCTGGACCCGGTGGCTTATAACTCACACCGGGCACGTGCACGTGTGCGTGCGTGTCCAAGATCCCGAGAGGAGAACGGAGAAGGGATTACGGCGTGGCCATCCCCTCTGGGGGGTGATTTCTCACTTTCTGTCTCTCTGTCACTCTCTGTCTGGCGAGCACACGCGCCCTACAGCAAAAACCTCTCCAAAAAAAAAAAAAAAAAGAATTTGTTAGTCAAGAGGTAGGAATGACCCTTAAGTCTTTGCTGAGATCAATACCACATAGAAATCTTGAGAGGTGCCAGGAGCTACAGAAATGCCTAGAAAGATAACTGATACTTAAGTAAACACAATTAATCTTAAGAATCATTATGCACCTACTAGTTAACTGTCACCATCACAGGGAGTTCCAAATGCATGGAATTAGTGACATTTTTTTTTCCTAGCCTTTTACATTTTGAACCTATCCTGCAACCAGGAAATGAAGAAATGTGTTTTAATCAAAACATGAATGATCGCCTTATATAAAATGTTATTCATGGATTTCTTTCCCAGAATAGCTTCCCTTGATCCCTAAGGACTCTGTTTAAAAGGAACTAAGTACACAAGAGTAGGTATTGTATAAATAAATGCAGCTGTAGGGCACATAGTTTCCAAGTCTTTCTCATGGAACAAATAAAACTCTTCAACCCATAATCAAAAAAAAGAAAAATGATCTTAAAAACTCAAGACCTTTTGGGTTCCTATTGCTTTGGGGTCTTCTCAATATTTACACAAGTATGAACAATGTTCATTCATTTCCTTTAAGACTTTTAAGGTTAGCCATCCAAATCTGGATTTGCTACAAGAAAATTAAGTAGCTACTAAAGGTAATTTTGATGAAAGTATTCCAAGAAAAATGCCCTGTTCAGGGAACTGTGGCAAGACGCAGGTTTTCTGTGCTCAAGTTTTAGTCCCCTAATTTTTCTGCTGACAAAACAATCTAGGTACTGGGACCAGCAATTGGCATAGTGGTTAAGGTGCTAGATTCCACATGACTGACTGTGGTTTGAGTTCTGGGCTTGGCAGTTTGAAAATCATGCCTGGCTGTGTGTGTGTGTGTGTGTGTGTGTGTGTGTGTGTGTATGCCGAAAACCCTGAGAGAATAATGAAGAAGGAATTTCAGCATAGCCATCCCCTCTAAGGGTTGATTTCTCACTTTCCCCCCTTCTGTCTCTCTCTGTCTCACTCCAGGGAGTGCACACGCACTATGACAAAACCCTTAAAATTTTTTAAAATTTAGGTACTGAGCCAAATGAAGGTATCTGCATGGGTTTCTGTGAGCAAAATGCCTGTAACTTTTTTTTTAAAAAAACAAGAAGTTTATTTAAACAACAAGACGCTTGACTTGAAGGGAAAACTATCTAGGATCCCTTTTTTCTTTAAGAGTAATTTACCCCTACTTAAAGACAGATTGCCCTACATGTAACAGCTACGTACAAAAAAGTTATAAAATTGTCCTTGGTTTTACAATGATAAATGAAAAACATTAAAATTCTCCAATCAAACAAGGTATGCAAGGATTTTTATGTTGTTGGTTTTTTTTTTCTTTTTCTTTTTGTTAAAATAGTGAGAACAAAATAACTTACTGGACTATAAAGATAAGAGCTGAAAGAGCGGCCACTAATGGAGAAAGGGGGTATTTTCACAGAACCAGCATTTTTCCCCATCCCATCTCCATTTGATGTCAATCAAAACATACCATTGGCCATTTAGTTAAAAAAAAAAAATGAAATATGCTTGTGCACATACACCAGGTACTTTATGTACAATAAAGGAATGGGGAAGGGAAAATGAAAGAATAGAAAACTATACTGTAGAGGTCAGGATGTGGTGAAACTAAATTGTGGTTTTCTAATTGATAATGTATTCTTGGTCTGTAATAACAGAGTTCTGGAGTAAAGTAGCAGGTTCCCTTTTTAGTAGACACCTCCTGTCTGCTGTAGGAACACATCAATTGTATCGTCACCCTCCATTTCCAACTGTGCAGGTGTGTCTGTTTCGTTGATCGGCTGCCCATCAAATCGGAATCTGATCTGCCTCATTGACAAACCCTGTCGTTCACAATAGGCTTTCATTAGTTTACTAAGTGGTGTATGCCTCTTAATCTTAAACTGCACCACAGAACCATCCTGCCCCGCCACCTTCAAATTAATATCATCGTTGTTCTCAGTCTTGACTCCGTCCTTGGACTTTTCATCAGCCATGGCGAGCGCCGGAGTCTCCTCAGCTGCTGCTTCACAAAAGAGGTACCAGGTCCTCACCGAACGAGCACACAGGCAGCACCAGGAGCAGCAGAAGACGGAGGCGGCAGCGGTGGAGGAGGGAAAAGCAATGCCTGTAACTTTTGACTCAAAAGCTATTACTGTGAACACTCTAACTTGCACATTAAAGATAGACGATCTAGAACTAATATCTGTTCCAAAATACCGATTGTGTAGGTTATACATTTACATAGTCCCTTTGAGGTTTTCTTCTCTATATCCTACACTGGGCAAGTAACTAATATTCAAAGAAGAGACATTTATGACTCAAGTTTATTAAGGACTATGTTAATATTCATATGGAATGTAAGAAAAATCTAAAATACTCAATTTTCTCCTTCCGTCTTCCTCTAACTTCCCTACCCACCTATATAAATCTTTCTACCCACCACTCTGCCTCTTTC